AGTCAAGCGGCTTTCAAACCTGCGTGTCCTTTATAACATTAGCACTCCATTTAAGCCCAACTCAAGTGTTTAGGGATCCAACCCACCTCCAAAACCTTGGATGATAACCTTCTCAACAATCACTCTCCTTATTGTTGTGAATGAATATATACACAAAGCTTCAGCCTAATTTTTAGCCTAGATCCATTCAACGAGTGGTAAAAAATATAACCCTCTATCTTTTAGACATTTCACTTTCCTATTATTTGTCAGAGCACTTCGCCTAGTAGGATGGTGTCACATGCGGCATATCATATGAGCTCGAGTGGAATAAGTTGATTCAACATCAAGAGCCTAGCGAAAGAGATAGGTTATATCGAGTTTACACGCACTTATGAATACTTTGGGCGAGTCAACATCAAGCTCCGAGAAATAGAGGAATATCCTGTAATAACGCGATCACTTTCTCGCAGTGCACGGAGAGAATGGATCAATCTTTCACGCGGTACAAAGAGAACCTAGAGTCATGCCAAAGGCGTTGAACAGGCTTCAACCGACCTGATCAAATGCAAAATTCAATGGGATTAGCCCCAATGTATTTATTGCGATACAGAACATTCTCAAAGTAGCTGGAATTGCAGAGCAAGTAACTCCACATTGGGCTGTCTCACTCCACTGGGCACATGAGAAAATCCGGATCTCTCGAGGTGCAAGGCAACTACCCCAGGCATTCATAGGTGAGGATGTTCGGATACAAGCACAGAGAACACATTTATTCTGGACCGCAAGATTCCCTCCAGCAAGAAATACAAAGATTTCCATTGTAATTATTTTGAATCCTCCATAGCTCTCTTTCTAACATCAACATCACATAAGTTCCGGACATCAGAAGCGTGCTCTTACGGCACGAAAAAATCTACAAATTCGGAGATTCTGATTACACAACGTCAGAGGTCCTAAAACAAATTTATGACGGTTCGATTAAATGAATTAGTTGCATTGCAATTTGGAGGACAAGCAGTCGGAAAGGTGAGAGAGGTTGGCTGGAGACAGGAGTTGAATCAGAAGGCATTACTATTGGCAGGACCTAGCGCTCTCTGACGATAAAACTCAACTTGGTGATTAGAAGTTTTAGACTAGAAAATTGAGTTTTCTCCGTTCGACCCACAGAATAATATCTCGTTTCGCACAAAAGGGCGTGTTCGTCAGTTTCAATCCCTTTACACGGATTCTACTCCCGAAAATTATGAACGTAATCCTCCCTCCCTCTTCGTGAAGAAGAGGTTCCTCATTAGGTGAAGAGAATAACCGTAACCGCCAGCGCACATTTCCGCCAAAAGCGTTGGGTCACTTAATCCAATACAGACCAGCTCATATTCGCAAGCTCATCAAATAGGAGTAATCTTGGGCAATTTGCCATATTTATGAGAAGAAATAGAGAGGATATACAGGCAACACGGTAATTAATACATTTTCTCAAATTCAAAAGCTGGAAGTTGGCCGCGGAAAACATTAAGGTGGCATGATAATAAGTCTCAGACACACAGAACATTAAAAAACCAAGTGGTGATGTTTCCGTCGCACTCCGTAAGCTAAAAAAGAAATCGCGAGGAGGAAGGACATCGTCTCCCTTAAGTGCAAATTTGCCTAACGAAGTTCTGGGCATAAGGCCAAGGCCCTGATTTGGCCGATAGAAAAAACACCCAAGTGGAAGGGCCGGGCGGCTGCCAATATGGAAAACCCATGCAAAACGTCTCGTTCACAATATATAAAAAACATATCACAGATGAGATTAATGCGAAGTAGATATACACGGCCATTTAATTACTAAGAATAAGTTCCAACATTTTATGATATTCCACATATGTGAGTATCCTTAAGCACAACACGCCGGTATTTCCACAGCATCCACAGCCATATCCCTTAAGCAAGAAGAAAATACATCCCTTATCCAAAATGGATCCTGCCTCTTTGACAAGCGGTATTAAGCTGCTCCAATTTTTTCCAAGGCGAGATATTATATTCTCCAATAGGCGAATCTATATAGTTATGCTAGAACTCAGTACCCCTTAAGAGATAAGACCGAGTGCGTCATTTTGATTCTTATCGTTTTGGTCTTCTATAAGTCCTTATTAGCTCCATCGATATGGTAAGACATCTTCAATTAAGACAGGCGAAGTTCAACTGACTCGAGATTTGAGTCCATTTAGTTTCGTTTTGAGTGACGATCAGCTCTCTCTCAGTATTGGCCAGTATCAACAAGAAATAATTCAATGATATCCTCGAAGGCTGAGAAGCGTATTCACAAGAAAATATGAAGAGTTAGATAGACTTTGCATAGCTGCACGAGGTGTGCTATTGCAAAGAAAAAATCACCAACTTAAATAGACAATATGTAACGCGGTTCCAACAAAGAATATTCATGATTCCTCCTGAACTTTCACAAGAAAGAAACTAGTTGACATAGCTGCGCACATGCAATTGCAAGAAAATCAACATGCATAGCGCAAGAGAGATTAACCATCCCAGGTGATAAGTTACTCAACGAGACCCATAATTACATCCTGTTCAAAATCGAGAATCCAACAACCCCAATCTAGAAAGTTGCAGTAATACCCACAAACAACAATTCTTCTTTGTATCTGTGCTCATTTTAATTGTTCATTGTGATCGGTTTGCAGCGCATCCAGGGTTGTAGTCAAGATGGAGACACAAACAATCTTGAGATGGCGAGAGCAAAATTGATGTTCTGTTTTTTTTTTGGGGGCAGGTGATTGGCATCTGGAGTAGTCACAAACTGTATTGTATCTGTTAATTATTGTCAATAATTTTTTTTTTTTACGATTTATATTTTTTTATGTTTTGTCTAGGATTGAGGGTGTTGAAGGTGTGGAGATATAGGGAGGTGATTTAATCCAGCATAATAAGGGTGTGTGGGCTGATTTAAGGATTGACCTCTGGTTAATGGGGCTACCTGCCTTTCTTGGAAGTTGAAGAGGTATGCTCTGAATTTGGAGGTGAATTAGGCCCGTTAAGTGGTCGTGCAGCTCGGTATAGAACAGTTGTACATTGGAGTAGGAGGAGGGAAAAGGTATTGATGGGTGGTGGCGCGCAGGAATGGTTGGCTATCGGGGCTTGTGTGGATGTGTAAGACTTCGGAGATTTTGTTAATGAGATAGAGGTGTTAAAGAATGAAATGTATTCTTTTTAAGGTGGTAGTTGAGAGGGGAGAATGGAGATTGGTGCCCAAGAGTATCGGTGTGTTAAGGGGTTTAGAGGTGAGAGGCACTTTTTCATGGATCTATGGAAGAGACATCTTTCTATCAAACAGGTATTTATGTATTGCAGTGGAAATTGAATGGCAAAATGACGATCCTCCTCCATTACGCAAAAGAAGAATTAGAACGTATGAGAGCCAATAGCTGGATGGCCACGAGAAGAAGCCCAAAGTCAGATTAAACCCATATTCGATTAACGAACGGCAAAGCCGTTGTTAGCAGTCCTCCACCCGAATTCTTCCTTCCCCTCCAAGTAATTGATTTTATTTGCAATTTCCTACACATATTAGAATGGCAAATGACAATTCTTATTACGCAAAGAAGAATGTAGAACGGATGAGAGCAATAGCTTGGATGGCACAGAGAAGAAGCCCAAAGCAATTAACCATATTCATTAACGAAGGCAAAGCTCGTTGTTAGCATCTCCACCCGATCTTCCTTCCCCTCCAAGTTAATTGATTTTATTTTCAATTTTCCTACACATATATCTTAATGTCCGCATCTCTACGATATTCATTTAATGGATATATTGTTGGGCATTAAGCAATAACATTCATGCTCATATAACATTGCAAGTTTCACTATCATTTTATATATTAATTGATCTAATTTTAGAAGTTTGAATATTTAATAGAATAATTTTTATAAATTGAACTGTTCAATATACCAACGTAAAAATTAAGGGTATCACAAGATTTTTTACATAAAGTACAGATGTGAATTTATGCATTTAACCGATAATATTTTATATTTAATTTAACCATTAGTTTAAGGTGTTCAAATAAATACAATTTGTAAAGCATTATTTTTAAATTTTAATGATCAAATATTTAATTTAACAACTAAATATTCTTGACTTTCTAATCAGCACATGCTGATAACTAATTATTATAATTATTGAATCAAATAGTAAACACATCTCTAGGTTAGTTTTGTTTTGATTTGAGATTTAAAATGGTTAGAGATAATTTTGTCATGTGCTACACTATTTAATATTTATAGATGTAGTTGCTGAACCGAGTTCATATTAAACCTGAACAGAATCTAAGGTCTAAAGTGGTGAGTTGGAAGGATTTGAATGCTTATGTTCAAATTTAGTTTTGTGAAGATCTCAAATCCACTCGGTTTGACCCAAAATTTTATTAAAATGGGTATAAAAAATAAAAAAAAATGCTAATTTTTATATTTTAAACTAGACTGTTACAGTTAGTTTTCTACATGCCATGTTATATGCATAATATTTTAAAAATTACATATTTGATACCACGTAGTATTTAAAAGGTAAAATTACATTTTTTTACCTACATTTTAGTATAATTAACTATATTTAAAAAATTACGCTATTATATCCTTGTAGTTTGTCTCTGTTAAATAAAATTGTCTTTCCGTCCATTACTTGAGATTTAAGTTGTTAAATGCTAGTAAAATTACAAGATTAACCTTATTTTACATATGAACTAATTAAAAGTGAAAAAATTATATTTTTACTTATGTTTTGACATAATTATCTACTTTGTCATCGTAGTTTAATAATTACATTATTTTATCCCTGCAGTTTGGATCCGTTAACGACTTAAATTTCAAATAATGGACGGAAAGATAATTTCGTTTAACGAAGATAAATTATAAGAATAGAATAGTGTAATTTTCAAAATGTAAAGATAAAATAGTTAATTATGGTAAAATACAGGGATAAAATCATATTTTTCCCTATTTAAAATTCAGTATTCTACAAAATATTACTCCTCAATATAGTTAAACTATGGTTGGTTCTTCTTTTGAAACTTCAACTTAAAATAATCATGCATTATTTATAGAATGAGAAACCACTGTCCATTAATGCACCACCTAAGGCAATACCGCAGGTTTTCTCATCAAGAAAGCTTCAATTTATCAACCTTACAATTTCCTTTTATTCAATCAATAAACCAATGTTTTATATTCCATAAACTCAGCACCAAAAGGCGTCAATTAGCCGATCTCTTACAATCACTCGCACAAAACAATCCCATACTACACCACAAACAAATCCATGCCCAAATCATTGTATTAGGCTTAGAATCTGATACTTTTTTAAACAATCTCCTCGTAAATGTGTATGCTAAGTCTGGCTTTTTATGTCATGCACGCAGCTTGTTTGATAAAATGCCAGAGAAAAACTTAATTTCTTGGTCTTCAATGGTTTCTATGTATTCCAAACATGGTTTCCACGAAGAAGCTTTTTTAATGTTTTTGGGTTTCAAAAGATATTGCGATGACAGTCCAAATGGACATATTTTAGCTAGTGTTATACGTGCTTCTGGAGAACTTGACGGTCGAAGTGGTGGTTGTTTAGGTAAACAAATACATGGTTTTGTTGTTAAGGGTGGCTTTTATCAAGATGTTTATGTGGGTACCTCTTTGGTTGATTTGTACGTGAAAAATGGTCAAATTGACGAAGCAAGAATTGTCTTTGACGGGTTGTTGGTGAAAAATGCGGTTACTTGGACAACAATTATGACAGGTTATGTTAAAAGTGGGAGGAGTGAGATTTCACTAGAATTGTTTAATCAAATGAAGGAAATTGATTTTGTTCCGGATAGATACGTATTGTCTAGTGTTTTAAGTGCATGTTCTACACTCGAGTTTTTTGCAGGAGGCGAGCAAATTCATGCTCATGTATTGAGGAAGGGAATAGAAATGGATGTTTCAGTAGTTAATGCGCTTATTGATTTTTATGTCAAGTGTGGTAAAGTACAAACTGCTAGGAAACTGTTTGATAGAATGGTGCATAGAAACGAAATTTCATGGACTACAATGACTGCTGGATATATGCAAAATTCTTTGGATAGGGAAGCGGTGAAATTGTTCATTGAAATGACCAGATTGGGTGAGATGCCAGATGGATTTGCATGCACTAGCATTCTCACATCATGTGGTTCACTTGACTCTCTAGAACTGGGAAGACAAGTTCATGCTTATAGTATCAAGGCAAATCTTCAGTTTGATATTTTTCTGAAAAATGGTTTGATTGATATGTATGCAAAATGTGGTGCATTGAATGATGCGAGAAGGGTTTTTGATGTTATGACTAATCATAATGTGGTCTCCTATAATGCATTGATTGAAGGATACTCAAGCAGCAACAAGCTGTTTGAAGCAATGAATCTTTTCCATGACATGAGGCTTAAGATGCTCCCACCAAGCCTTTTGACATTTGTTAGCCTTCTTGGTGTATCAGCTGCACTATCAGCCTTGGAACTAAGCAAGCAAATTCATGCATTCATCATCAAGTTTGGTCTCTGTCTGGAAATATTTATTGGGAGTGCCTTAATAGATGTTTATTCAAAGTGCTTGTGTCTTAGGGATGCTAGACTTATATTTGATGAGATGACTGAGAAAGATATTGTAGTGTGGAACGCAATGCTTTTTGGCTACACGCAACAGTTGGAAAATGAAGAGGCTCTCAAACTTTACTCTGAACTACAATTATCAGAAAAAAAGCCGAATGGTTTCACTTTTGCTGCCCTTGTAACTGCAGCTAGTAACTTAGCAAGCCTCCAAATAGGCCACCAATTCCATACCCAAATCATACAGATGGGTCTAAATTTTGATCCATTTATCACAAATTCCCTTGTAAACATGTACTCAAAATGTGGAAACTTTGAAGATGCTCGTAAGGCATTTGGTTCCACAAGTTCGAGAGATGTTGTCTGCTGGAATTCCCTTATCTTGATGTATGCACATCATGGAGAAGCCAAAGAAGCTCTTCAAATGTTTAAAAAAATTATTGAGAAGGGAATAAAGCCTAATTATGTGACATTTCTGGGTGTGCTCTCAGCTTGTAATCATGCAGGCCTTATTGAAGACGGACTGCATTACTTTGAGTCAATGCCTAAGTTTGATGTGGAACCAGGAAGCGATCATTATGCTTGTGTGGTTTCTCTTTTAGGCCGTGCTGGTAAGTTATATGAAGCAAAAGAGTTAATCGAAAAAATGCCAATAAAACCAGCAGCTGCGGTGTGGAGGAGCTTGCTTAGTGCTTGTAGAATTTCTGGAAACATCGAAATTGGGAAATATGCAGCAGAGAAGGCAATTTCCATTGATTCAACAGATACTGGTTCATATACTTTACTGTCAAATATTTTAGCATCTAAAGGAATGTGGGTGGATGCTAAACAGGTAAGGGAGAGAATGGATGTTATTGGGGTACTGAAAGAACCTGGATATAGTTGGATAGAAGTGAACAAAAAAATTCATGTATTTATTGCAAGAGATAGAAATCATTGTGACACAGAGCTCATTTTTGCAGTTCTGAATTATTTGATTCTGCAAATTAAAGAGGTTGGTTATGTGCCTCTTAATAACTTATCTTTGTTGAATGATTGAAGAGAAACTTTTATGGTCACAGATTTTTGTAGTGCCACGTATAGCCATAGTTCCATCAAAAAAAAAAAAAAAAAAAAACCCTATGTGGAACCAGGGAGACGATTCATTATGCTTGTGTGGTTTCTCTTTTAGGCCGTGCCTGGTAAGTTATATGAAGCAAAAAGAGTTAATCGAAAAATAATGCCAATTAAAACCAGCAGCTGCGTGGTGTGGAGGAGCTTGCTTAGTGGCCTTGTTAGAATTTCTTTGGAAACATCGAAATTGATAGAATATGCCAGCCAGAGAAGGCAATTTTCCATTGATTCAACAGGTGAGACCTGGGCTGCGGCTTGCATATACTTTTACTGTCACACAAGCTTATCTTAGCATGGCTCTAAGAGCGAGATTCGCGTTGAAGTTCCTAACCACAACCAACGTTTATATAAAGGCTCACCAAGCCTGTTTTGGTACGAACTGGCAGGCATGTGTTTGCCGGGGTACTGAAAGAACCTGCCGAGTAACTGGAGTTGGGAATGGCAAATTATTGGGTAGGAACAAAAAAATTCATTTCGGTATTGGCCTAAATTAATTGGTGTACCAAGGAGATTTAAGACAATCATTGTCGACCGCGGCAACGATCGCGAGGCTCATTTTTTGCAGGTTCTGAATTATGAGTTGAGTACACGTGAATCTTCGTCATAAATCTACAACGAATTGGTGGTTTTTTGTAGGTCTCGGTGGCCTACTCAGGAACTTCTACACGGTAAAACATATGTAAAATCTTATAAGATGACATGATTGAAGAGGAAACCTTTAGTCAGGTCACAGCATGTTCCTTCCAAGTGTCCTGAACGATGTCCGGCGATCGTATAATAATGCACCGAGTTACGGTTGCGAGTGGAAAATAATATAAAACATATACAATAAAATAAGATCCTCTTCTGTTTTATGAGTTTCGCATAGGTAAGAAATTTCTGTAAGGCCTAAGGTATCGCAATCTAGAGTACACAAAGACTCATTTTGCGCTCACACCGTCCGCTCCTTGCTGTGTTCTTAATTATCGCCTAAAATATTCTGGACTATTTTTAGGTGTACTCTTGCCTTTAATTGCTTTTGCTTTGTTTAAGTGGTCAATTAATCATTATTAAATATATTTCATATTTCCCTTAGCGTACGAGTGCGTCCATAATAACCTGGATGGTGTAACGCACCGAACCGCAACGCTCCGTGAGAAACATTAGAACTCAGTTACTCGAAGTACGGGTGATTGGAAACTACTCGCTATTTAATTTAGATTCTGCATGCCTTTTTTTTAACCCTGAACCGCCTTAATCTTTGTTTTAACACAATCTCACATGGTGTACTCACGATACATCTCAGATAGGTTCCAGCTAGGTGTCTGAATACTGCTCCGCGACCTATGAATTTTTTTAAGCAAGGTTTCCTGGCCGGTTTTTTGACCGCGTTCTGGCCGGTTTTGGACGGGTTCCAGCGCGGTTTTCCGATGGAACTAGAACTATGGTTCTGAATGACACGGACTTGGAGTTAATACCACCACCATAGAGTCCTGTACGGTACCAAAAACTGTGTGTGTTAAGCTCTGAAACTTAATCCGACAATGATTGGCCCTAGGTATTACCAACGCCCTACAGGTTTTCCATTATAACTTAAATGGTGACTCTCGCCTACTCAGTTTTTCGTCAGGGATTCCTACGGAATTTTTCGGCGACTTGAGTGTCCATTCATTGTTATATCACTTGTGGGCCTAAGGAAGTACTCTCTAGTATTTATGAAGTCTATTTCTCATACCTGGTGGGTCACATTGATATCGGCGATTAAGCTTAATTATCTATTCCACTAATCGTGCCAGGATATACTCGTCATTTTGCTCTACTCGTGACACATACCCTCAAATGACATATTAAAATAATAAGAATTAAATACTTCAACAAACACAGACCGATAACATTAAAAAGAACAAAATAAGTAACAGATCACTTCTATCATTGGCGCACAAATGGGCACCTATAATGCCCATATTAAGCTGCAAAGTGGTATCTTGGGTCATAAGGTCAGGCCCCTTAAATTCAACTCAATATCTTGGAGACGAGGTCGACGACCTTTATTACGAGATAATTCCCCTACTTTTTGGCCAGGGATATGATACCATGAAGCACTTCTATATCTTCCGTTATGGATCTATAATATCCTCTACTCTCTCTATTTGATTCTTGGGCTAAACATTTCTGGCTTCCTCTAAATCAAGATCTCTCCTGAACACGCGGGTTCATGCAATCGCGACCGAACAATACATAAGGCTCACAATAACCATTACCTCTACTGTTGCGTTTTACTACAGGCCATTTACGAAATTCTTCTAAGCTTCGGCAAACACTCGCGAATGTCTGGACTCTAGTAGTACATTCATCTTTGTGACTAAAAATGCGCCTATAAGAGCATAAATACGAAAATTTTGGCAAGTCAATGTGACTACACATCAATTTTCAAGGCAGAAAATGCCTAACAATGCCAACCAGCCATACACCGGAGTAACCCTCAATTAATGCATATCGGGCCATTATATCTCATCTCTAAGGCTACGCTTTACTACTCCCAGGATTGGTGTCCTCACATTCCAGAATCATATCGCGTTAGTGTCTGATCTTTTAAATCCTTACCATATTTCTATCAGCGGTGAAGACGAGTATAACGTATGAAGCACGAAACTCTATAAATAGTGCGGAATATGGTATCGCCGAGCCAGGCCAACAGTCCGGAAAATAACATAAACATTTGTTTGTTTTGTGTTTTCTTCCATATTTCCTTTCAGATATACAACCAGCTTGTCGTTTGGGCTAGTTCAGATTTTGAGGTCGTAAAAGCCCGAGATGTAATGTGTTATTGGTTTTTGTCTATCTAGAGTCTATTATATGACATATATTTGCGTGTCTCACGGGAGAGAAAGCAGTTCCACCTCGGTTCGTTTAGCCCATGGTGTTTGAACGAAATATGTAATTAGAGGTTAATATAGATTATTTTATTTTACATAGAGCTCAATTTCTTTTTAAGAAGTTTTACAATTTGGAATTACAACTAATGAGGTATTTACCTTAAGTTAACCTACTATAATATTAATACAGTAGGTATGCTGACCTCTCATATAATTCTACGTTGCAATTTTATCCTGTCCATTATAGTCCTACATGTTCCATATATTGCCTTGTAATAGTCTTGAGGGAAGGGGTTATCACTATAAATTCCATATACTATCCTATATTAAGGTTAATAAGGTGTGAGTATTAATTGGTTTTGTATGGAGATGACTTTTTTTTTCCAACTTGGTTGTGGTTTATATTGAATTAATGGTAAACATTTGCCCTTTTTTTTCAATGTGAATTGTTGCCAGATTGGCAAGGGACTCAAAAGAACAAGGGCTACAGGCCCATTCATCTGGGGCTTTGGCTTTAAGCGTAGGTGTCCCTGACTGTGGAATCTAAGCCTAGGGAACCGTTTTTATCAATTTTTGTCTGTCACATTTTATCGTGAAATCATATATACGTAAATTTAACTCCACAGTTCTCTAGCAATCCGTTAAGAGATAGACTGCAAATGTACGGTAAATCGACGTATATGGTAAAACCAAACGGATTAAGATATATATGCCCGTGACCAAATACGCCAATGATCTGTGGTTAATAGTACGATTTCGTGGTTCACTCTTGGACATGAACCTTTGAATGTATAGCTTTTGGTCTAATTGGCATGTTAAAGTGCTATTCCTCAAGACGATCAAAGGTTGGCCTAATACGTATTGAATGATGTCCTTAGTTATAATAACCCTCTAAGATATGTGGCCACTGAAGTGCCAATGTTTGCTAGTTGATAATATAGTGTCCGATTATCTGCTCACCCGAGAGTCTTTGGCCTATCCCTGTGCAAAGAGGTTGCTCAACCAACTTCACATCACTGGCTGAGACATTATATATTGTTGATGGAGATGATTTTTCAATTGGTTGTGGTTATATTGAATATTAATGTAACATTTGCCCCTTTTTTTTCAATGTGAATTGTGCAGATGGCAAGGACTCAAAAGAACAAGGCTACAGCCCATCATCTGGGCTTGCTTAAGGTACCTACTGTTATCAATTTTTGATATCTATTTATAGTTGCATTCTTTTCAATAAAAGAGGAGAGAAATTACGTAAACAAATATGTAAACCACATACTTATGTGAATTCATGATTCTGGAATCTTGTGGTTCACTCTTGGACATGACCTATTGATGTTGTGTGCTTGGATGTTAATGCTTTAAAAGATCAAAGCATACTGTGTCTAGTAAAAACACAAGTATTGCACTAGAACTTAACAAATGCATTTCCCGCACACCTGGCATCCTGCAAGAGGTGGCCCCCTTAATATGGAACAAGCTACAGATTGAGCTGTGTGAAAGCCAATGCTCATTAGTGCATCATCTTTTTTAGTTAAGGACTGTTAGAATCTACAAATAAAGATTCTAAGGATGGTTGAGATAAAGTGAAATCAAAGACTGTTTTAGCACTAGAGATTCTAAGGATCAACAACTCTTAGGATATGGGAAGACTAGGTTTGGAAATGTCGATTGCAATTGTATGGAGCTTAAAACTGCTACAGTTGCAATAGGAAAACTGAACTTGTATCTATTTCATTGAACATATTTGCAAATGATTATTAACATGTTTCTTCTACGAAGATTTTATTCGGTGCCTAACTTAGAATTAGATGAAACAATGTACGTGGATTGCAATTATCTGGAGTGTAAAACTGCTAGGTTGCAATAGGAAAACTGACATCATATCTAGTGGTGGCAATGGTAGAAGTATTCCAGGTGGCAAAGTGCTTATTATACTTTTTTTTCTGCACTTACTAATAAATACTGTATTATCCTGTCCACATGAAGAACACTGATAAGGCTGTCCTATGTCATTGCTCGTTTTGTGCTAGGCTAAACTTGCAAAACTACGTAGAGAACTCCTTGAGCCTTCATCAAAAGGAGGTGGTCCAGCTGGTCAAGGTTTTGATGTTACTAAAAGTGGAGATGCCAGAGTTGGCCTAGTGGGGTTTCCTTCAGTTGGGAAATCTACATTGCTAAACAAATTAACAGGAACATTTTCAGAGGTATGGGATGGCTATTTGTGACCATATAAGTTTCTTCGTTGTTAATAATATTCATAAAATATAAGCAAGACACATACTGCATATTATGCGTTTCTTTTTTTGAATTACATATGATGAAGAGTATCCTATAAGTCAGTTATTCTATAAAGTAAAACCTCTCTCCCCATCTTTATATTGGAACCAAAATGTTTGACACTGTCGTCATAGGCTTGCCAGGAGCTGGAAAGTTGGGACAAACACAATGTTTTTTTGTGTGTGTTAACAATTCCGCACTTGATACATGCTTTGTTATTTTATGGTGTGAAACATTTTATCATTCTGCTTAATTTTATCAAAATGCCTTATTATGATCTTTGTGGCTTACAGGTTGCTTCCTATGAGTTTACCACCTTGACTTGCATCCCAGGCGTTATCATGTATAGAGGTGCTAAAATTCAGGTATTACAGTATACTTAGATGTCTTCATCTTTATGGGTTTGACTTCCAGCTACAGTTATTCATCAGAAAGCTATCATTACAGCATTCTGATCAACAATTGATCTTATGCCTCAATTTCCTATTTAGTTTCTAGGTAGAGTAAATATCATGTCGTCGCACTGGTTGTATATAAATATTGACATTACATTTTCCTGCTGATTGATTTATTCATTTTTTTCTTTGCATAGGTTTTCCTTTAAAGGAAAAAAAAAACACAATTCTTATTGTTTCATTTATGCAGTTGTTAGATCTTCCTGGTATCATTGAGGGTGCTAAGGATGGGAAGGGGCGAGGAAGGCAGGTAAAACATTATTTTGCAGCTGGCTGCTGCCTGCTGTTATTATTCAGTTTAACATTTAATTTTCTGAGACTTTTTCTGTTCTTGACAATGCATGAGTCAATCCAGAATGCTGATATTTGATTAATTACCTCTGTCTAAAAAAGGAAATAAGCATTATGGCTAGTGATAACTTGTGTTTATAAGAGCTGAGTAGATTAGGTTGAAGATATTTAAGGTATATATCAGATGTTCTTGATCCTTGTTTACTTGTTTTTTTAGGCCATCCAATTCTAAAGTTACTACTTGAATATAGCATTAACTCTGACTGAACAGTCATTGGATGGTTGGTAAGAGGGTTACTAAGAGTTATTAGATAACTGTTCGGGTGTGTAATATAAGGTGCAGTGGTGTTTGTTTTTGTATGATACAGCTGATGATATTAGATATTTAAACATAGTTAAGTCTTTTCATTCTCTTGATCTTGTTGCCAACAGTTTATCTGTATGAGAAAGAAAATTTGTTAACTTAGTTTGCCTTGTAATGTTTGTTGCACGTGTTACTAAGAACTTTGATATTGACATTGTTGCATATAGAACTGAAACTTGACAAGCCCACACATCAAGATTACTAGCCCTTGTTTAAAAAAGCTGAAAGGGGAGAGAAAGGGAGGGGATAGAATATGGGGGGAAGAATATTGGAGTGGAGAAAATTACTTTCAGTTCAATTGTTTGTAAAGAGAGAGAAAGTGAGAGGAATATAATTATTCAAAGAATAAAATGATATCTATGTCCTTTTGCTTCTTAAAAATGATGCCGGCCTGGGCGGTTTGCTCTCTCTTTCTCTCTCTTTTCTTTTTTCCAAAGTGATGCAGGAGCATCCAAGACTAATTAAGAAGTTTTCTTTTAGTTTCCTTCTTTATTTAGGGTTCTTAATTAAATTAAAGAATGTTAATCGGGAAATAATTTTCAGTTTCCTTCTTTACTTAGGATTTATCTAAATAGGAATAATATTCAATCTAGGAGTATTAGCTAATTAGGAATACTTTTCAATATATAATTAGGATTTGTCCTAACTAATATAAATGGGACAGCAACAATTAGTTTTAGAATTGTTTTTTATCTATGAATTCAGAATTTTAATTCTAAAGGTTTCTTTGAGACCGATATTTTATTTTGTTCCAACCAAAATCATCCTGTTCCAGCCCTAATTGTTGAGAGTTAATTTGCCTCAAATTCTTCCCTTGCGTTAAGTGGTATTGGAGCACAAAAGATCCTAAATTGCTTCAGGATTTTTTTTCTTGTTATGTTCTGAACCATGTTTGGTAGAAGTAGAGATCGAAGCATAGGTAATCAGTCCTGACAAACAGAGATGGCTGAGATATTGCGAATGATTGAGGATTTGACCTGGGCTGTACAAGTCTTACAGCGTTAGGAATGGAGATTCCAGAAGGCAACCACAAACAACTCAAGGTTCAAGAGGATCTTGAGATTGATGAAGTCAAGGATGTAAACCCTTTTTATGAAGCTAGACCAGCAAATCGAGCGGCACGAAGTGGATTGGAAGAGTTGTCACTACAGGCCCTTGATTTGAATGGTGAAGGGATGAAGATTTAAGTAGTTGATCTTCATGTAAAGTTACATGCAGCAGATTATTTAGATTGGGGAATAACAACATTGTTGGATGTTGATGACCCTAAGGAGAGTGAAAAGGAGAAAGAAGTTTCATATTTTGATGATCAAAATAGTGAAGGCAGCAATAAGGACCTTATGGAACCAATCTATGATGAGCATGATGATGAAGAAGAGCAAGAAATTGACCAAAGTTTCAGTATTTTGTATGATCAAAATAGTGAAGGCAGCCCAATAAGGACCTTTATGGAAGGGAATAACAACATTGTTGGATGTTGATGACCCTAAGGAGAGTGAAAAGGAGAAAGAAGTTTCATATTTTGATGATCAAAATAGTGAAGGCAGCAATAAGGACCTTATGGAACCAATCTATGATGAGCATGATGATGAAGAAGAGCAAGAAATTGACCTAGTTTCTACCCAAGGAGAAAATAATGTCATTCTGCTGGTTCTTATTACCCCTAAAATAGAAGAACAAAAAGATTGGAACATTGAAGGTGGAAAAACGAAGGAAGATTTTTATTCTTCACAAAAGTATTTGCTTGTGGATGTTGATAGCATATAACTGCCAAAAGCAAGATTGTTTGAAGCAAGTAGTCCATGAAGTTGAAATACATCTTCAAGCAAGAAGGCTAGTGCAAACACGAAAAATTCTTTTTGTTCAACCAGCTTTGCTTGCTCAGAAAAATGATGGATTATTTGAATGGCTAGTGATGTTGGTTGCCCTTGCAAAAGCCTTAAGCACGTGGTATTCTAAGGAGAAGTTTACACAAATTGATCCTATTCTCATGGCTGAAATATCTAAGCTTTTCTCGCGGAAGACGGGTTCTTTTCAAATCCGAGGAGAATGATGATGCAGGAGCATCCAAGACTAATTAAGAAGTCTTCTTTTAGTTTCCTTCTTTATTTAGGATTCTTAATTAAATTAAAGAATGTTAATTAATCAGGAAATAATTTCAGTTTCCTTCTTTACTTGGGATTTAGCTAAGTAGGAATATTATTCATCTAGGAGTATTAGCTAATTAGGAATACTTTTCAATATAGAATTGGGATTGTCCTAACTAATATACATAGGACAGCAACAATTAGTTTTAGGATTTGTCCTAACTAATATAAACAGAAACCGATATGTTATTTTGTTCCAACCAAAATCATCCTATTCTAGCCCAAATTGTAGAGTTAATCATCCTATTCTGCGTTACAAAGAATGTGTAGATGTACCTGTTAATGAGTGGAGTACTCACAAATCATAGCCTGTGTGTGAAGTTCTTTTTAAATGACTGAAACAGCTGGTATAGTGTTTAAGAAACATCGCAGCAAGACGAAGACTGAACCTTAAGAATTTTAGAGAAAAGAAAAAGAATGAGTTCGACTAGATACTCTTTCTATTTCAGTTCTAGTTTGCTTACCAGAAAACTCTCATTCAGCATATGAGAAGCAACACTCTAGAAAAGAAACGTGGTAAATTTTACTTGAACCCTGGCATGACAGACTGGCTAAAAAACTTAACTCCCTGACACGTGGAGTGGATTCAATCCTAGGAATTTCATTGCCTTGATGCGGCAACTCTCTATGTAGCGTTAAATGTTAATGAATAACCAAAGTTTAAGTTTAAGTTTGCATCCTAACCTCAATCAAAAAATTTATGGTAAATCATCTTACATCAAGTCTGCTCCATGAATCTTTTATTCTCCATTATGTGTTTGAAAAATTGTAGCTTTACGAGTTTTCATACACTTGCCATTTATTTAAAGAAAAAATTGATAACAAAGTATAAATGTAGGATATAACTACTGATGAATATAGCATGTCATGATTCCTGATTCACCTCAGATACAAAGTTCCTTGGTGGTTATGTCAATTTAGATGTTAATATATGTGCATTCTTCTTATGCCTTTCATTTGAGATCAGCATATTATGGACTGATGACATTGCAATTCAGGTTATCAGTACTGCTAGGACATGCAATTGTATCTTAATTGTTCTTGATGCAATAAAGCCAATAACTCATAAGCGTTTGATAGAGAAAGAGCTTGAGGGATTTGGCATAAGGTAATAATGGTAGAACCGTGCATTCCATGATTCTTTCATATAATTTATCTGCCTCTTTAGGTACTGTTTCTCTTTTACTTAAATGCCTCACTGTTGGTGCTACTGTAATCATATGAAATGTTGCTATATTTTTTTTTCTTTTTCCTTCATCATGAATTTGAAAGTAGTTTGAATAGCATATACCGGACATATTCATTCCTCTTAAATCATGTATTTATAGGACATATTCATTCCATGATTCTTTCATATAATTTATCTGCCTCTTTAGGTACTGTTTCACTTTTACTTAAATGCCTCGCTGTTGGTGCTACTGTAATCATACGAAATGTTGCTATATTTTTTTTTTCTTTTCCCTTCATCATGAATTTGAAAGTAGTTTGAATAGCATATACAGGACATATTCATTCCTCTTAAATCATGTATTTATGGCAAGAGAGAATAAAAAAAATAATGGAGTTCCTCAGAACATAATAATTCATTGTAGGCATTACTTTTAAGCAAAGCATTGAACAAGCAGCAATTTTGCAAATTGTATTAAATGGTAACAATGTTCTAAAAAGCATTAAAAAGGTATTTTAGGCGCTTGGGTGGGAAAGATGTCAAGCTCAAGGTTATTATAGAATCATATGTGGAAATTGGAAGTTAAAGAGTTCAGTTGACAGTACGAGCAGTGATCCATGATTTATGGATGACCTAAGATAAATGCAACAACTCCCACGTTGGATTCCTCATTAGTTTATTTATTTTATAAATATCCACATGAAACTGAGAATTATTCCAGTCTCCTGATAATTAATTGTTTTATCTATTCTCTTAATTCTTTTTTTGTCTTCTGAAAACAGATTAAACAAGGAACCACCTAATCTGACATTTAGGAAGAAGGACAAAGGTGGAATTAATTTCACCTCAACAGTTGCCAACACACACCTTGATCTTGACACTGTGAAGGCAATATGTAGTGAATACAGAATTCACAATGCTGATATTACATTGAGGTATGATGCAACTGCTGATGACCTTATAGATGTCATTGAGGGCAGTAGGATATATATACCCTGCATCTACGTAATAAACAAGATCGATCAGATTACCCTTGAAGAGCTGGAGATTTTGGACAAACTTCCTCACTACTGTCCAATCAGGTATTTTTTTTTTATAAAGGATTTTTGTATTTATATTATTTTCAAACTTTGTTGTTGCTACTTTTTACTATTATTTTGCATCCAAGGAAAAAGCATCCTATGGATATTTATTGAGATATAGGCAGGAAGCTAGGCATTACTGTCCTTGATATTATCTTGATACATGAAACTGTAATCTTGTAATAACTTTCTCCGTCAACTGTTGCATGGTTTAGTTGATTGGTTTATTAATTATTGCTCTCCTCTTCGTGATTAAATGCATCCAAAATATTAGTTTTACCTGTTATATATTACTTCAGAGTGTATCATTTTAGTAATGGATGGCCCCATCTTTTTTATTTGCCCTGAAATTTTCCACATTGGACCTCCTCACTCCTCACCATGTCCTCACTCCTCTTGCCCCATGACTTGTGACCTGGAGCTTATGGGTTTGAGCCACAAAAACATTCTCTCTGCAAAAGTAGGGAGAAGGTTGCGTATCTCAATCTTCCCCAAAGCTCACAAATGTGTGATGCTTCGTACGCCGATTGACCCTTCTTTTGAACTTCCTCACTCATACTTCCCCATCTTCTTTAGTTCTTATACTGGAAGTAATTCTTTTAATTTGGACTAGTATCTTATGGTATATTATATTCCTCTACTTAATTTTTTTTGACTTCGTATCCTGCATTTCCACATCTGTCTCTGATTTTTTTTTCCCTCCTAGCATTAAAGGACCTAGTGCTGCTAGTTTTGCATAATTTGTTTTGGTGTACAAGGGCAATATTTTACATGCCATCTCTTTATCATTTGTTTCTTAGCTAATTTCTTCTGGCTATTCTACAGTGCCCACCTGGAATGGAACCTTGATGGTTTGTTGGAGAAGATATGGGAATATCTAGATTTGACTCGCATATACACAAAGCCAAAAGGAATGAATCCAGACTATGAAGATCCTGTGATTCTATCATCTAAAAGGCGGACAGTTGAGGATTTCTGCAACCAAATTCATAAAGATATGTTGAAACAGTTTAAGTAGTGAGTATCTAATAAATTGCTGTTATTTCTTACACATCTGGTCATTGGGATATGCAAAGTAATTGACTGTTGGCAATTAGACACATTTTTGCAAGTGTATATAGTAATGACCAACTCTTACAAGTACTAGACATATCTCGTGCACTTCTTGAGGATCATCTTGAACATTTGAGATAAGGACTGAGTGTGGGTGAATGCTAGTTGGCATGGCCCACATTGAGGAAACAATTGGAATATCTGATATCATGGAGAGCTTTAGGCAGTGCAATTTGAAATTTATTTTATTATAGATGTCAAATGACCCTTTTCTAATTGGATTGCATGTTCTATCCAGTTCATTATGGTAAAATTTGTTTGTAAGTAGGGGTTTGAGTAGTCAACAGTTTTTTCATTATGACAGTAAGAGATGCTGGCTCATGTTCTAGCTGAACTGTGAACTTGTCATTTTTTTATTCTTCTCTTGGTTTCTTTCACCAATGCTTATTATTTGCCTTAATGAATACTAATGTTTGGCATATGATACAGTGCCCTAGTATGGGGATCAAGCGTGAAACACAAGCCCCAGAGGGTTGGCAAGGTTCTTTCCGAAACTGATGCAGCATAACTTTTTTCTTTTTGTCTTTGTAATTTGCTTCTTACAAGATTTATGCTTTATATTTTTATGTCTTAGGAACATGAACTTGAGGATGAAGATGTTGTGCAAATTATTAAAAAGGTGTGATAAATTTGACTCAGATTTACAGTCCTCCACTGAATTCTACGGTTGCTAGTAGCTGATATGTGAGTGAGAGTACATCCAATTTTCTGCACTACTAAAGCAATCAGTTGGAAGAGAAGCTCACTTTCGAGCTTAATAGCAATATGGCTTGATTTGTAATTTAAGTTATTTTGTGATCAAGCACTTTTATGTTATTACGTACTGACATAATTTAGATTGAACAAAGAATTAATTTCATAATCTTAGGAGAAATTGAGAGCAATAGATCGAACTCCAAGCACGCTATATTTAAAAGAGCGAGCTGGAATATCTATGGAGCTTATGATAATTTGTCTTTGTTAATCTCTCTCTTGTGAAGAAAAAGATGTTCTTCAGTCAGTTCAGGTGAGTATATCAATAAATTTGATATATTGATAGGTGAATTAATATTAATAGCAACTACAAATATATTGATTTATACACATATATTAACCATACTAATATATTAATGTGAATGTCAATTCATGATTCGGGAAAAGTGTGCAGCGTTTGAGGTGTTTTTATTTTAATCATATTGTTATTATAGTGGAGCCTTACCTCCCTAAAACCACTGTTTGTGATTCCGCGCTTCGTCGTATGGGTATTTGTGAATTATTTGAATATTTATTTTTATTGAATTATGTTGTTATGTTGAAAAATAATTGGAAGTATTTTGAGTAAGTTAATTTTAAAGTTATAATTATCTATATCTATTAATTAAAAACACTCAATAAAAATAAAAAAATTTTAAAGTTATAATTATCTATATATTTTTTCATTTAAAAAATTTATATATTTATTAATTATAAATTAATTAAAAAAATTATACCCAATCAGGTGCAATAAATTGTGTGCGAATACTTTTATATATTATTTTAATTTTAATAATTATTTAGTACATTGAAATCAAGAATAAAAATTATTGAAAGGGTTAAAATATCAGGAATTAATAATAATTAATCTTTATATATTAACTTTGGTTAATTAAATCATCTGCATAGTTTAAAATTTCAATCAATAAACATGAATTGATGAAAATACATACCTCAAAAATAAAGATAATAGATAAATGAAATTAATTAGAAAGGTCATTTGAGTAAAAATCCGGCAGAGATAGATTGATATAAATTTTTGAAAAAGAGAGAGTTAAAAATTTTCAAAGGTCTAGTAAGTTATAATTGTCCACATATATTTATTAAAAAAATAATGAAAATTGTTTAGAGTTTAGATTTTTTTTAATCTATTTATGCCGTAATTTTAGTTTAGAGCTAGAGAGTAACAAAGTACAGTTGCGAGTGAATTAATTACGAACTTGAAAGAAAAAAAATGTCAAGAGAGAAAACTCTCTGCCGTGAGAACCCCAATGATAGCCCATCCGAGACAGATCGAATAACGAAAAAGGTGAAGCATAGAGAATAGGGAGAGGAACAATTGTATGATGTACCCATTACTGAAACAAAAAAGGAAGGGAGCAATCCTTCCGTGATAAAGTGTTGCAGGGAATGGATGATGAAATGGAAGAAGATCCTTTTAATGATGCTAACTTTGTCTTCTCTCCGGAAGATATCAACATCGACAAATCAGGGACCATTCCAGAGCTGATAATTTCACAGGAGTTACAAAATAATCTGGTGAAAAAATGGTCTAGAGCGGTGGTTGTCCACCTATAGGGAAGGAAAATAGGCTATAAAGCTATGTGTTCCAAGATCCAGAATTTGTGGCAACCTAATGGCCATCAAGTTTTGGATTTGGGTACTTCCTTCTTCCTTGTCAAATTTGATAGAGAATCAGATTTTCAAAAGGCAGTTTTGAATGGACCATGGACTGTAGCAGGCAACCACCTTGTTGTTCAACCATGGAGTCCTAGCTTCGATATCCAGAAGTCTACAGTGGTTTGGATTAGGTTACCTGGCTCACCCCTTCACTTGTATCATAAGTCATTGCTTAGGCTCATCGGTAATGTCGTCGGTAGAGTAATACGGGTTGATGATAATATGGAAGATATGCCAAGAGGTAAATTCACGAGAATAGCTGTGTTAGTGAACTTGAACTCCCCACTTGTGTCTAGATTTCGTATCAATGGTAGACTTCAGTTAGTAGAATACAAAAGTATTCCCGAGGTCTGCTATGACTGTGGGAGAGATGGTCACCGAAACAACAATTGTCCACACAAAGAAAATATGGGGAAGCATAAGGAGGAAGCGATGCAGAATCCTAAACAAACGAAGGAAGAGTTTCCTACTCCAGACTTCGGGCCATGGATGGTTGTTGGCCGGAGACCTCGCCGGAACCAACACATGACAGAAGATCAACGTCATAATCGCCATGAATTCAGTAGAGGTGGATCTCGGTATGTTATCCTGGGCGTTGACAATGGAGAAGATTTTGTGAATATTAACTCCACAAATGATGGGATTCCTCAACGTACACATGATTCTCCAAATCATGCAATTAATTCACATGGACTTTCTAAAGGAACAGAGACAGCTCCAAGTTATCCCAAAAGAAAGAATAACAATTCTAATGGATCAAGTCATTTGCCTTCCTCCTCTAAAGTGGAACCTAAGCCCAATTCAGAGCCCAAAAGGGCTACACTAGGAGATTTCTTCAAGTTTAAACTAAACCAGTCCAGCTAACCCTCTATTATTCCCATGAATACTACCATGGATCAATCCAATAACACAGTTACGATGTTTTAGAACCGAATATTACTGTCCAACCTAAAAACAGTAACCCCATTAATAACTCTAAAGACCTTCAAATTATAAACTTTGAAGACGGACCTCCAAACCCAGGTATTGTAATTTCTAATAGCTCTTTCCATCCTCTTATGTCTTCTCATACAGGTTTGTACGAAGAGGATACCTTAAAAGAAAGTTTGGAGGATGGCTCGGAGGATGATATGGTTGATGCTAGCGAAACTGAAAGGGAAGTGGAAGAAGATGAAACGGATTGTGATGAGTTGTTCAGAAGGAAAGCTAGTGATCCATATCTTCGTGATTGATTTTATGGCTTCTAGTGCTTTGATTTTCTACCTCTTTTTATAATTTTTATCATGTCTATCTTTTCCTGGAATTGTCAAGGAGTTGATAGCTCCTCTTTCTTTATAACTTTAAAGACGTTTTTAGATACTAATAAGCCTAAAATTGTTATCTTGTTGGAGCCTAGAATTAGTGGAGTTAAAGCTGACAAAGTAATCAAAAGAATGGGCTATGATTTTTCTCATAGGATTGAAGCTACAGGATATTCTGGAGGAATCTGGTTTTGCTAGAACAACTCATGGGAAGTACATATCCGTAGTAATAATAATCAATGGGTTCACATCAGTATTTTACATTCGGGCAATGTGCTCATGGAATTAACTGCTGTTTATGCGAATCCTCACAAGTCTAGGCGTAATAAACTTTGGAAAGATTTGAACCAAGTCATGGCTAACATGCAGAATCCATGGTTGCTCATTGGCGACTTTAACGCCATTCTAAACAAAGTAGAGCGCTTTGGAGGGTCCCAAAATAGATCCGGAATTGATAGTTTATTTTCGCAGTGATTTTTCCAGTCTCATCTGATTGATATGGGATTTCGGGGAGGCCGTTTTACTTGGAAAAGAGGTAACCTTCTTGAAAGATTAGACCGTGCTTTGTGCAATGAAGCATGGAACTTAAAATTCCTTGATTATAGTGTTTTGCACCTAGCTCGTATCGCGTCTGATCATAAGCCTTTTTTAGTTAAAATTACTGGTAATGACTTGTCAGCCTCTAGGAAGTTCCCTTTTCTTTTCCAAGTTGCGTGGCTTACCCATGATAATTTTTCTCATTTTGTGAATAATAACTGGAACAGCTCTATCCCTTTACTGGACTACTTGGATTTATTCGCTAAAAATTTATCACAATGGAATTATGATATTTTTGGTAACATTTTTAAGCAGAAAAAAAATGCTTCTTGCTCAGTTACAAGGTATAGATCTAACGAGCTCTAGATACCAGACACAATCCCATCCTGGAAAATTTAGAAGTTGAGCTTTAAAATGAGCTTGAAACAGTTTTGCACCATGAGGAGATGATTTGGTTCCAGAAATCTCGCGCACAATGGATTTCTTGTGGGGATTGGAATACTTCCTATTTCCATCTGAAGGCAGTTCAACGCAGAAGGAATAACAAAATTACTGCTCTTAAAAATCACTTAGGTTGCATGGTTGATGATCAAGCGAACCTCCAAAATATGGCTGTTGCTTATTTTTCTTCTTTATATACGGAGGAGATGAGTATTCAGCCATGATATCCTTTACGAGGTTTTTTCCCTTCAATCTCTAATAATAAATTACAGATTTTTGATTCTAATCTTTCTTTTTCTGAAGTGAAACAGGCCCTTTTTGACATGAAGTCTTGGAAAGCCCCAAGCCCGGACGGTTTCCATGCGAGTTTCTTTCAGCACCAATGGCAAACTGTGGGAACATTGATTTTTAGAATTCCTGTATGGCAGACACCTTGATGCCAGATTAAATGCTACCCTTTGGGTTCTTATCCCAAAAGTGGATAGCCCTGTGTCTTTCTCTCAATTTCGTCCTATTAGCTTATGTAATGTTACTTACAAAATTATTACTAAGGCTCTAGCTAACAAGTTGAAAATTATTTTGCCAGATATTATTAGTCCTACCCAAATGAGTATTGTGCCCGGAATACATATTACAGATAATATTATTATTATGCAGGAGGTGATTCACACTATGAGAAACAAAAGAAGTGGAAAGAAGCTGATGGCTATTAAAATTGATCTTGAAAAAACTTATGACATATCGGCTGGAATTTTTTATTTGATACTTTAGTTGAACCTGGTCTCCCTAATTCTTTTGTCATGACCATTATGAGATGTATCGCCTCTTGCACAATTCAGATAGCTTGGAATGGTAGTCCAACTGAGTGATTTTTTCCTTCCCGAGGTCTAAGGCAAGGGGACCCTCTAAGTCCATATCTTTTCGTGCTTTGCATGGAAAGATTATCCCATGCTATTCATCAATCAGTCAATCAAGGGAAATGGAAGCCAATTAAGCTCTCTAGAGGAGGTCCTTTGCTTTCACACCTTTTCTTTGCGGATGATCTCATCCTTCTTGCTGAAGCCTCTTTTGATCAAGTCAATATGACCCAAGGAGTTCTAGAGGATTTTTGCATGTGTTCTGGTCAAAAAGTGAATGCGGATAAAATTGAGGTTTATGTTTTTCAATAATGTACTAGTCAATTAAAATCCCAACCGAGTAGGGGTTTGAGATTTAAATCTATTGATAACTTTGAAAATTACCTAGGAGTCCCCCTTATTCATGGAAAAGCTTCTATTAATTCTTGTTCTTACATCCTTGAAAATGCTCATCAAAGACTCTCTGAATGGAATGCATCTCACTTGTCTTTATCGGGAAG